GATAACTTGAGGTGAGGAGTTTGAGACTAGCCTGGCCAATATGCTGAATCCTGTCTCTACCAAAAATGCAAAAATAGTCGGGTGTGGTGGTGCACGCCTGTAATTCCAGCTACTCTGGAAGCTGAGTCAGAAGAATCGCTTGAACCTGGTAGGAGGAGGTTGCAGTGAGCTGAGATGGTGCCACTGCACTCCAGCCTGGACAACAGAACAAGACTTTGTCTCAAAAAAAAAAAAAAGGCGGGGGAAGGGTGGAGGAAGACAATAGTTACCTATCTCACAGGATTAAATGACTCCATAAACATAAGGTGCTTAGAATAGTGTGAAAACCTCAGGTTTGAGGACAAAGGATATTCAATGAATTAATGAACATTGAATATTCAATGAACATTTGCTATTTTTATCATATGTTGCTCTCATATGACTGTATGTCATCCTGTATAGGGCTTCATCCTAATTTTGAGGATTTTAGTGAAAAATCCTCAGCCCAGGCGTGGTGGCTCATGCCTGTAATCTCAGCACTTTGGGAGGCTGAGGCAGGTGGTCACTTGAGCCCAGGAGTTGCAGATCCACCTAAGCAACATGGTAAAACCCATCTCTACAAAAAAAAAGAAAGAAAATTAGCTGGTGTGGTAATGTGCACCTATAATCCCAACTACTTGGGAGCTGAGGTGGGAGAATCACTTGAGCCTGGGACGTCAAGGCTGCAGTGAGCCATAATCACACCACTGCACTCCAGCCTGGGCAGTAGAGAGACCCTGTCTAAAAAAGAAAAAAAATCCTCCACGTACCTGGCTTTCTCTTGACCATTAATAATCTTAGTTTCACATACTTATTGAAGAATCCTATATTTACAAAGTGTTTTCAGAATATTTCATGTAAAAATATTTTATAAAAGCTGGACATGGTTGTGCATGCCTGTGGTCTTAGCTACTTGGGAGGCTGAGGAGGGCAGATGGCTTGAGCCCAGGAGTTTGAGGCTGCAGTGAGCTATGATTGTATACTCCAGCCTGGGGAACAGAGTAAGACTCCATCTCTACTTTACAAATAAAAATTTAAAAATATATATTTTATACATTTTGGGGATTTTTTTTTCAATTTTTGTTTTAGCTAGACACAACTAATAGTGATTATTATTCTTTCTTTGGGATTATATGGGGAGAAATTCAGTATAAATATTCCAAAATAAAAACTATTACCTGATTAATCTTTGAATAGTGGTTCAATTAATTAAAACATACGTGTTAATTTTTTTTTGACACGGAGTCTTGCTCTATCATAGAGGCTGGAGTAGAGTGGTGTGATCTCGGCTCACTGCAACCACCACCTCCCTCCAAGGTTCCAGTGGTTCTCCTGCCTCTGCCTCCTGAGTAGCTGGGATTACAGGAACCCACTACCATGCCTGGCAATTTTTTCCATTTTTTTAGTAGAAACAGGGTTTCACCATGTTGGCCAGACTGGTCTCAAACTCCTGACCTCAGGTGATCAGGCCTCGGCCTCCCAAAGTGCTGGGATCACAGGCATGAGCCAGCAGCCCCGGCCTGTTTTCATTTTCAGGTTGACATTAGACAGTATGCCACAAATGAAAAATCAGCAAAAGCATTTACCAAGTCCTCCATGATTTACCATTCTCTCAGAATGCAATCAGTTTCAAGTTACAGAATACCTGATAACAGTGGCTAAAACAAGAAAAATATTGATCTCACTTCATATAAACTCTGGAATTGGGTAATTCCTAGTCTGGCCAAAAGGCCAACAATGCATCAAGGATTCAGACCCTTTCTTTCTTTCTTTTTTTCTGAGACCAAGTCTTGCTCTGTCGCCCAGGGCAGAGTGCAGTGATGTGATCTTGGCTCACTGCCACCTCCACCTCCCAGGCTCAAGTGATTCTCAAGCCTCAACCTCCCTAGTAGTTGGAACTACAGGCACATGCCATTGCACCAGGCTAATTTTTGTGTTTTTAAGTAGAGATGAGTTTTCACCATGGTGGCATTGCTGGTTTCAAACTCTTGGCCTCAAATGATCTACCCGCCTCGGCCTCCCAAAGTGCTGGGATTACAGGCATGAGCCACCGCACCCAGCCAAGGATCTGCTCCCTTTCTTTCCTTGCTGCTATTCTCAGTGGACCATCTTTTAGTCATGATTACAAGTTTACTCTCATTGCTTTGAACATCACACTCCACAGTATACCAAGCAAGAATGAAAGGAACAGATGGGAGGAAAAAAAGTCTTCTTTCCAGAGATTAACTCACACACACATTCTCTTAACCAGGAAACACAGTATTTCCAGAGTTCTCCAAAGACTTTTTCTTCGAGTTTTCTGACCAGAGCTGGGTCATATGGCTACCCACAGACTAATATTTGGAAAAGAAAATGGAGTTAAAGTGACCAGTTTAAATGAGTCCTGAGTTATCCCCTAGGACTGAGGTGAGACCTACTGAGAGGGCCTTCCTTAACAAGAAGTGAGGGTATATGTTGGGTAGGCAACCAAGAGTTTCTGTGGCACTCTATATTACCACTGCCTACTTGTGCACCATTTCCACTTTATACTCAAGCCATACTTAGCTTCTTGAGTTTCCCAAATACATTTCACACTTACAATTCTGATTACACTGCTCTATGCCTAGAATATTCTTCCCACACCTTTCCTGCTTATTCTTCATGGCTGTTCCCTTTTATGGAAAATCTTTCCAATACTTTGGCCTCTCAATTGAATAATTTCCTTTTTTCTTTTCTTTTTTTTTTTTTTGAGAGTCTCATTCTGTCACCCAGGCTGGAGTGCAGTGGCACATCGCAGCTCACTGTAAGCTCCACCTCCCAGGTTCAAGGGATTTTTGTGGCTTAGGCTCCTGAGTAACTGGAATTACAGGCACACGCTACCTCATCTGGCTAATTTTTGTATTTTTTTTTTTTTTGAGACGGAGTTTCGCTTTTGTTACCCAGACTGGAGTGCAATGGCATGATCTTGGCTCACTGCAACCTCCACCTCCTGGGTTCAGGCAACTCTCCTGCCTCAGCCTCCTGAGTAGCTTAGACTACAGGCACACACCACCATGCCCAGCTAATTTTTGTATTTTTAGTAGAGACGGGGTTTCACCATGTTGACCAGGATGGTCTCAATCTCTTGACCTCGTGATCCACCCGCCTCAGCCTCCCAAAGTGCTGGGATTACAGGCGTGAGCCACCGCACCCTGCTAATTTTTGTATTTTTAGTAGAGATGGGGTTTCACTGTTGGCCAGGCTGGTCTCGAACTCCTTACCTCAAGTGATCTGCCTGCCTCAGCCTTCCAAAGTGCTGGGATTACAGGCATGAGCCATTGCGCCTGACCAATTTCCTCTCTTCTAATAATCTAATCCTCCACCTGATTCAGCCACTTATTTCATGGCCACATCCAAGATCTGTCATTACTTGCATCTCATCCACAATGTTAATTTCCTGTAGCTTCAACTAAGGGCAGGTTAAGTTGCCTTGTTTGTAGAGCAATTCCCAGTGTCTAAATTAAATTCACACATGGTATCTCAAGGAATGAATTCTCCAACCCTACTATCTGGTTCAGTGAACCAAAGGACAACAGTAAAAACTTCAATTCCCAGCACTCACAACTGCTAGAGTTCCTCCTGTTTCCATCAATACCTTAATCTCCTTAATCTGGGGGACTAGAATTCCAGAGATGCAATGTATCACTACTATTTTCCCATCTTTTCTTTCCCAGTATTTTGTTAACTGCAGTCTCTGAATTACTATAGAAAAATGAGAGGGAAGGCTAAATCATTCTTTTGGGTACCTGAAAAAGCAGTACCCCTATGGTAGAAAGACAACGGTGCACATTTCTGGCATGGTACAGATTATGGATCTCTGAGTTAGAAGCCAGAAGTAGGACCAAAGCAGCTTCTTACCTTGTCTTCAGGAATTCTGATTTATAAGGTAAAGGCTGGGCATACTGAGGCAGTTTTTCTAATTCAGCCCTCTCCATCTTAACCAATAGAAACTGTGTCCAGATTCTAGAACTAGTTTTTGAGTTTTTCACTTTTTTTTTTTGAGGTGGAGTCTTGCTGTCACCCAGGCTGGAGTACAGTGGCTCAATCTTGGCTCACTGCCACCTCCAACTCCCAGGTTCAAGCGATTCTCCTGCTTCAGCCTGAGAGCTGAATTCCCTGAGTAGCTGGGAATACAGACGTGAGCCACCACGCCCAGCTAATTTTTGAATTTTTAGTAGAGATGTGGTTTCTCCTTGTTGGTCAAGCTGGTCTCAAATTCCTGACCTCCTGATCCACCAGCCTTGCCTACATACTAAAGTGCTGGGATTACAGGCGTAAGCCACTGCGCCAGGCCATTTTTTTGTTTTTTGTTTTTGGTCTTAAGAAGTTCTGTGCTACTTAATTGGGGGCTACGATTTTTAAAACAATTGCTTAGCTGTTTCTTAAGCTAAAAACTTCAGTAAAAGGCTGGGCATGGTGGCTCACGCCCGTAATCCCAGCACTTTGGGAGGCCAAGGCAGGCAGATCACGAGGTCAAGAGATCAAGACCATCCTGGCCAACATAGTTAAACCCTGTCTCTACTAAAATACAAAAATTAGCTGGGCGTGGTGGTGCTCACCTGTAGTCCCAGCTACTCGGGAGGCTGAGGCAGGAGAATCGCTTGAACCCAGGAGGTGGAGGTTGCAGTGAGCCGAGACCGTGCCATGGCACTCCAGCCTGGCACCTGGCAACAGAGCAAGACTGTCTCAAACAACAACAACAACAAAACTTCAGTAAAAATAGTTTTAGATATTTCACAAAAAGTCATTTTAGAATTTTTTAATAGTATTCTGTTTCTTCCTGTGTAAAAAAAGTAAATAAATTAGATGAGGAGAAATGTATTTTAAACTCCTTCACACATATGCAAAGGAGCCATGGGAAATGAGGAACAAAAATAAAAATATCCTTGGATAAAATCCATGTGTACAGAAGATGATTCAAGAGGTTATAAATAACTCATCTGAGGTAAAGCAAACACGCAATATTTATATATCATTCTCTGAAGATATTTTATTACTCTTCAAGTTCCTCCACATATTAGTAATAAAAACTTGTATATATTATCAACAAGTCTGACTGTTGTGCCAAAAGAAAATCCAGATTATTTTAAGGTGAGTTTGCTTCTTTTTCATCTGATTCATCATCCATAACCTAAAACCAAAAAACAAAGACAATTTAAGAATTAAGAAAATGATTAGATTTTGCTATTTTCCTGATTTTTATATTACTTCTTTACCTGATATACTCTATAACAATGCATGGCAAGCCAGTAAGAATAAATCTATCAACCGTCCCAAAGAACAAGGTTTGAATCATAACTTGGTGTCATAAAAACAAAAGCAAATTAAATATTTGGAAATTAATTAAAGCACTGATCACTTCTCCTTGTCTCTTAAGAGGCTACCCATAGCAGAGTCTCAGCTAGGCAGAAATGACTATAAATAATTAACTGGTATTCTCTAGCCATAAGACTAATGTAATTGACTTTTTGTCTTTTTTTTTCAAAACCATCTTATTTACTTAAATATATTCTGTGAAGCTATACCAAACTGTTATTATAAAAATATTTATTTTTCCTAAAATGAATCCCTAAAGAAAGTAAAAAAACAAAATACAAAACAACAACAACAAAAAAACAATCTTAGGAACTAATTATTTTGGTCTTATTCAGATAAAAGATCATTTTAAACCTCAGAAAAATGTCACCACAGCTATTATCTTTCCATGAGTTAAGGTATTACTAAGATAACAGACTAACTCTGTTGGGAAGGAAAGAGTTACATAAACCTAAGAATGTTTTTTCTCCTTACCACACCTACTACAATTAGATGCCAATTCAAGTTTATAATCTGAAGGCCAATTCATCACCCCACCCTGGACAAATGAATAAAAATGTTCCTCAGTCAATCCACCAAAGTTGTCAACTAACTAATTTTTTAAAGGCATATAAATGATAATGGAACAAAATTAAGAGTTTTTGTTAAAAAAAGAAAGAAAGAAAGAGAAAGAAAGGAAAGACAGACAGAAAGGAAAGACAGACAGAAAGAAAGAGAGAGAGAGAGAGAAAGAAACAACCTAGGCTGGGCGTGGTGATTCACACCTGTAATTCCAGGACTTTGGGTGGCTGAGGTGGGTGGATCACCTGAAGTCAGGAGTTCGAGAGCAGCCTGGTCAACATGGTGAAACCACATCTCTACTAAAAATACAAAAATTAGCTGGGCGTGGTAGCGCACCCTGTAATCCCAGTTACTCAGGAGGCTGAGGCAGGAGAATCATTTGAACCTGGGAGGTAGAGGTTGCAGTGAGCCGAGATCACGCCATTGCACTCCAGCCTGGGCAACAAGAGTGAAACTACGTCTCAAAAAAAAAAAAATATATATATATATATATATAGAGAGAGAGATTCTGGCTCTGATCTGAGACAATCAACAGAAAAAGAATTCTTTCATAGGATATCTTTTCAGTTGAGTAAAAATTGGTATTTATTTCCAAAAAATTAATATTTTATATCCAATTTTAACAATACCCAATCCAAAAAATTTTGTCAACCAACTAATATTTTAGGCAGAATTGTTCCTTAATTTGGAATAATAATAAAGCATGTATAGGACATTTGTAAGGCACAGGGTTAGTTGTTGCAGGGGAATACAAAGACTTAGATATGATTTCAAGTCTCTTAGGGAGCCTCCACATAAACATAAAGCTAAAACAGATACAGAAAGTCGCATAAACATAAAGCCAAAACAGAAGCTTTGGATCTGTCACAGAAGGACTTAATTCCAAGTGGGAGACTGATAAAGACTTCAAGGAGGACATGGCATGTACTGGATAAAAACGATGGTATGGAGGCTAAGGCAACTCCATCTTAAATGCTAATCTGCCATGTTGACTAACCTCAGTTCTAGCAATGCCTCTAAGATTTCTACTTAATCCTGCCTTTAGGTCAAAACAACCTTGGTGTTATCCTAAACACATACTTAGCCTATAATTTGTTTATGCTATTAGGGAAGTAAGCATTCTTGCCTTTTCCAGAGGGGTTGACTTTAATTGTCCTACACATATCTTCTGAAGCATGTGTACCCATTCCTCATGGTATATAAGCCCTGAGTCTATGGGGTAACAATGTGGGGATCCATCATCTTGCAACCACCAGAGAAATGGCTTCTGTTCCTCAGGCCATATTAAATGTTTCTTTCTGACCAACTGGATTCGTCAGCCTCTTTCTTCAGCCTCTCAGCAACCTCAGACTTTGGGGATAGGTTTGTATAGACCTGCTCACTGTGGAACCAATGAATTTAAATACTACCCAAGGATGAGTGATTCCCAATGGAGCTAGCGCACAGAATTACCTGAGGTGGCTCATGCCTGTAATCCTAGCACTCTGGGAGGCCGAGGTGGGCAAATTGCCTGAGCTCAGGAGTTCCAGACCAGCCTGGACAACATAGTGAAACCCAGTCTCTACTAAAATACGAAATACAAAAAATGGTGGAACATGCCTGTAATTCCACCTACTCAGGAGGCTGAGGCATGGGAATTGCTTGAACCCAGGAGGCAGAGGTTGCAGTGAGTGGAGATCATATCACTGCATTTCAGACTGGGCAACAGAGCAAGACTCTGTTTAAAAAAAAAAAAAAAAGAATTAGCTGAGGTTCTGCAGGTTGAAAATTTCTAATTTCCACACATCCCTTCTTCCCTCCTTGATAATCTCTCTCCATAAAGCCATGACTTCTCTTTGAGAATCACTGCAGTAAGAGTCTATCACTGATGACAAGGTGCTATGTTATATTCCGTAGGTATGTTGGCAAGAAAAAAATGTTGATATTGTGCTATACATAAAGCACAATAGAATTCTACTCAGTATAGCGTCGAACTATGAGTTCTTAATGCGCTTCTTGCTTGCATGTTTAAGAATACATAGATTAAGCCAGTTGTGTTAATCCTTAATCCCAGCATTTTGGGAGAATCGCTTGAGGCCAGGAATTCAAGACCGGCTTGGGCAACATAGCAAGACCCATGTCTCTACCAACAACAACAACAACAAAATAGTGAATAAATATGATGTAGTAGAGTTCTTCCACTAAAGATTTCTAAATCTCATCTATAAAACACTGCGTTACGTTTTAACCTTTTTCATAATTTTTGTGCAATCAGAGCAGCAATATGCACTTTAAGTCTCTGTTGTATTGTGTGCAATGGGAATGACTTAATGGACTGTGTTTATTAGAAGATGAAATGAGGTAATATTAGTAAAAATGCCTGGCACATAGTAGGTATTCATAATACTAAAGTTACTTCTATAAGAGATTTCAAGTCTGATAAAAAATGCAAGACAATGAGCCAGGCGAGGTGGCTCACACCTGTACCCAGCACTTTGGGAGGCTGAGGTAGGCAGATCACGAGGTCCAGAAATCGAGACCATCCTGGCTAACACAGTGAAACCCTGTCTTTGCTAAAAATACAAAAAATTAGCTGGGTGTGGTGGCACACGCTTATAGTCCCAGCTACTCAGGAGGCTGAGGCAGGAGAATCGCTTGAACCCGGGAGGCAGAGGTTGCAGTGAACTGAGATCCTGCCACCGCACTCCAGCCTGGGCAACAGAGTGAGACTCTGTCTCCAAAAAAAAAAAAAAAAAATTGCAACACAAAAATCTATCCTTTGTTTTTGTTTTTTTTTTTGAGACGGAGTTTTGCTCTTGTTACCCAGGCTGGAGTGCAATGGCGTGATCTCGGCTCACTGCAACCTCCGCCTCCCGGGTTCAGGCAATTCTCCTGCCTCAGCCTCCTGAGTAGCTGGAATTACAGGCACACGTCACCATGCCCAGCTAATTTTTTTTTTTGTATTTTTAGTAGAGACGGAGTTTCACCATGTAGACCAGGATGGTCTTGATCTGTTGACCTCGTGATCCACCCGCCTCGGCCTCCCAAAGTGCAGGGATTACAGGCTTGAGCCACCACGCCCAGCCAAAATCTATCCTTTGAAGAAAAAGCTAAGTCATGAACTTCTTTTCAAATACTTGCCTTAACATCTATTTCCAGCCTTTATATCTACAAAGAAAAGAAAATCTACACTGTCATATAATATTGGCATACCTGTTCTACACCTTCTACCTCTGGAATATAAAACTGCAGCATGTTCTGAATTCCATTTTTCAGAGTAATGATTGAACTAGGGCAGCTGGTACAAGAACCCTGGAGTTTCAGCTGTACGATGCCATCTTCAAAGCCTTTGTAGATTACATCTCCTCCATCTTCCTGCACAGTTGGCCTGTGAGGTCAAAGAATATTTATTACTTATTCTTTAAAATTCAAGTTATTATTGAAAAAATTTAATATAGCTCAGAGCTTACATGTTATAATGGTAAAATTCACAAAGTTAGAGCTCCTTTTAAAACAGAGAATAGTAACTGTGGCTAAGTTTTATTTATAATTTTAACTTTTTTTCACTTTCAGATAAAATACCAAAATTCACTCATACAAATATTTACTCCACTTACCACATTTAATCTTGTTTACCAATAATCTTTTCAAGGCTGGGAATGGTGGCTCACACCTGTATTCCCAGTAATTTGGGAGGCCAAGGTAGGAGGATTGCTTAAGCCCAGAAGTTAGAAGCTCAGTGAGCTATTATCATGCCACTGCAATCCAGCCTGGGTGACACAGAGAGACCCTGTCTCTAAAAAAAATTTTTTTTAATAAAAACTATGGGCTGGGTGCAGTGGCTCACACCTGTAATCCCAGCACTTTGGGAGCCGAGGTGGAAGGATCACAAGGTCAAGAGATCGAGACCATCCTGGCCAACATGGTGAAACCCCATCTCTACAAATAAATAAATTAATTAAATTAAATTAAAACTGTGACATTTTAAAGCATTTAAGATTTCAAATTTCCTAATAATTATTGTGATTACCTAAGATATACTCAGTCATTTCTTTTGAGTGAAGGAAGAGGGAGACTGTCACATGCTGGTGTCATTTTCAGGTAATTTTTCATTGAAATAAAACATTAATAAAGAAAAATGCTTAACTCATGTATGTACAGTTCACTACATTTTCACAAAGTGAACACACATTTAAAACCACCCAAACCAAGAAACAACACCAAGACTCCAGAAGTCCCCTTTGGGCTTTCTTCCAATCACTCCCCACAAACAAAACACAGCCATTATCCTAATTCGTATCACCACTGATTAGTTCTGCCTGTTTCTAAACTATATAATTTACAAATATGAGTTATATTTTTAAATAACATATAATAACTCTTTTGTATCTGGCTTCTTGTGCTCTTTGTGAGATTCATCTATGTTGCTGAATATAGTACTAGTCATTTACTCACATTGCTGCATAGTATTCCATTAAGTAAATATACCAGAATTTATTTATCCATTCTACTGTTGATGGACATTTAGGTTAATACTAGGTTTTGGTTTTTATAAATAGTGAAGCTATAAAGATTCCTAGAAATGTTTTTTGTTATGCATATATATTACTACTGGAAATACACCTGAAAGTGAAATTGCTGAATGAAGAGTATGAATATGTTGAGATCTAATAAATACTGCCATATAGTTTTCAGTTACATAAACTTACATTCCCACCAGCAGTATATGAGAGTTTCTGTTGCTCAACATCCTCACCAACAATTGGTGTTGTCAGTCTTAATAGTTTTAACTTTCTTAGTGGATTTGTACTAATATTTAATTGTGGTTTGTTTATTTTTTTATTTAATTTTTTTTTTTTTTTTGAGACAGAGTTTCGCTCTTGTTACCCAGGCTGGATGGAGTGCAATGATGCGATCTTGGCTCACCGCAACCTCCGCCTCCCAGGTTCAGCCAATTCTCCTGCCTCAGCCTCCTGAGTAGCTGGGATTACAGGCACGCACCACCATGCCCAGCTAATTTTTTTGTATTTTTAGTAGAGACGGGGTTTCACCATGTTGACCAGGATGGTCTCGATCTCTTGACGTCGTGATTCACCCACCTCAGCCTCCCAAAGTGCTGGGATTACAGGCTTGAGCCACCGCACCTGGCCTGTGGTTTGAATGTTAATAATAACAAATAAGGTTAAGCACTTTTTCAAGTTTAGTGGCTACTCGTCGTTTTTTTTTTTTTTTTGAGACAGAGTCTCACTCTTGTCCAGGTTGGAATGCAGTGGCACGATCTCAGCTCACTGCAGCCTCCACATTCTGGGTTCATGTGATTCTCCTGCCTCAGCCTCCTGGATAGCTGGGATTATAGGCATGCACCCATATGCCTGGCTAATTTTTTTTGTATTTTTAGTAGAGATGGAGTTTCACCAGGTTGGCTAGGCTGATCTCGAACTACTGACTTCAGGTGATCCACCCACCTCAACCTCCCAAAGTGCTGTGATTATGGTGCGAGCCACCTCACCCAGCTGTTATTTGATTATCTTTTGTGAATTATCTGCTCCAGTCTCTGATTGTCTTTTTCTTACCAATTTGTACAAGTCATTTATATATTCTGTCATAAAAATGCATAAATATCTTCTAATCTGTGCTTTGCCTTTTCACTGTAAATGGCTTTTTTTTAACAGTCTCACTTTGTCACATAGGCTGGAGTACAGTGGCATGATCACAGCTCACTGCTACCTAAAACTCCTAGGTTCAAGGGAGCCTCCCCTACACCTCAGCCTCCTAAGTAGCTGGAATTGCACACATAAGCCACTGTGCCCAGCCAACGGCATCTTCTGATGAAGAGAGAGTCACAATTTTACTGTAGCCCAATTTATATGTATTTTCCTTGATTTTTATCTGATTTCTTATGTCCATTGAAAAAAAAATTTGCCTACCCAAAGGTCATACAAATTATCTATTTCTTTTCTTGTCTTTCCTTTTCTTTTCTCTTTCCCTCCCTCCCTTCCTTCCCTCTCTTTCTCTCTCTCTCTCTCTTTTGTTGCAGAGATGGCATTTCACTGTGTTGCCTAGGCTGGTCTCAAACTCCTAGGCTCAAGCAATCTGCCCCTCAGCCTCCCAAAATGTTAGGATTATAGGCATGAGCCACCATGCTTGGCCCCTATATCTCTTCTAAGTAGTATATAGTTGCATGCTTGGCCCCTATATCTCTTCTAAGCAGTATATAGTTGGTTTTGTTTTTTCACATCCAATTTGACAATCTTATTTTTGTTCATCAAAATATTGTCATTTAAACACCAATACTTTTGGATTTATATTATCATTTACTGTTTCCTATTTTGCACTGTTTTAAATTGATGAAGCACTTTGAATTCTATTTCTCCTCTCCATAGGCTTGAAACTTTTTTATATTGTTATTTTGGTGAGACAGGGTCTTGCTCTATCACCTAGACCAGGGTACAATGGTGTGATCAGAGCTCACTGCAGCCTCAACCTCCTGGGTTCAAGCAATCTTTCTGCCCCATGAGCAGCCAAGGCAGGTGCACACCACCACACCCACCTAATTTGTTAATTTTTTGTAGAGACAGGGTCTCACTATGCTGCCAGGGTGGTGTCTAACTTCTGGGCTCAAGCAATCCTCCTGCCTCAGCCTCCCAAAGTGCTAGGATTACAGGTGTGAGCACCATGCCCACCCTCTCATGCTTCTTTCCTATATCTTCTATTCTATTATCTCCCTGTGCTTCAAGCTGAGTATTTTCTAGTGACTTAAATTCCAGTATGCTAATCTTCTCTTCAACTATGTCCAATCTAATGTTAACCTAATCTAATGAGTTCTTAAGTTCAGTTATTATCATTTTAGTTCCGGAGTTACTCATTCTTTTTTTACAGATTCCAGTTCTCTGATGAAATTCTTCATCTTGCTATTTTTTTTAATTGCAGTTTTTTAAACACCGTGTGTTTAAAATATCCAGTATCTAGGTTTCCTATTAATCTGTTTTATTTTATTTTGGTTTAGTTTCTAGATAAGCCTAGCAATATCTGACTGAATTATGAACACTATAATCCCAGCACTTTAGGAGGCTGAGGCAGGTGGATCATCTGAGCACAGGAGTTTGAGACAACCCTGGGGAACATGGGGAAAACCCACCTCTAAAAAAATACAAAAATTAGCTAGGCATGGTGGCACATACCTGTAGTTCCAGCTACTCGGATGGCCAAGGTGGGAGGATCACTTACGCCTGGGAAGCTGAGGATGTAATAAGCCATGAGCGTGCCAATGCACTTCAGCCTGGGCAGCAAAGCGAGACCCTGTCTCCAATTTAAAAAAAAGGCCAGGTGCAGTGGCTTACACCTGTAATCTCAGCACTTTGGGAGGCTGAGGTGGACAGATCATGAGGTCAAGAGATCGAGACCATCCTGGCCAACATGGTGAAACCCTGTCTCTACAAAAAAAAAATACAAAAATTAGCTGGGTGTGGTGGCACACACCTGTAGTCCCAGCTACTAGGGAGACTGAGGCAGGAGAATTGCTTGAACCTGGGAGGCAGAGGTTGCAGTGAGCCGAGATAGTGCCACTGTACTCCAGCCTGGCACCTGGTGACAAAGCAAGATCAGTCTCAAAAAAAAAAAAAAAAGGATTCATCCTATGTTCTGGCAACAGCTCATCTACTTCAAAATTAAACTGACTTAATACTGGCCTACAGTCTTGTAAGCTTAGTCTACCTCTGATGTGTCTTCATTTTAAGAGTATAGTTCTCTGGAGAGCCTAACCAAGAGCTTGGATTTTTTTTTTTTTGGAGACACTATCTCTGTCACCCAGGCTGGAATTCAATGGTGTGACCTTGGCTCACTGCAACCTCCGCCTCTGCTTCTGGATCAAGCAATTCTCCTGCCTCAGCCACCAGAGTAGCTGGGATTTGTCATAGAGATGGAGTTTCACCATGTTATCCAGGCTGGTCTCAAACTCCTGACCTTAATGTGATCCATCCACTTTGGCCTCCCAAAATGCTCATATTATAGGCATGAGCCACTGAGCCTAGCCAGGCTTGGATGTTTCTTAAGACCCAACCTCCTTGACAGAGCCTAAACTATAATTTTTGTCCCCCACCCCAGCACCATAAAACTGCCAAAGGTCTGCTCTGCCTTCCAAGCACTTTTTTTTTTTAGAACTTTTTAGCCTTTTTTACATGGCTACAAATAAGTAAGTGCCTTATGGGAGAAAATCTGAGTGATAGGCTTATTTTTCTTTTTTTAAAATTAATTATTACTATTTTTTTTTCTTCTTTTGAGACAGAGTGTCACTCTAGAGTGCAGTGACAAGATCTTGGCTCACTGCAACGTCCACCTCTTGAGTTCAAGTGATTCTCATGCCTCTGTCTCCCAAGTAGCTGGGATTACAGGGGTGTGCCACCACACCTGTGTTGAGAAATATTAAGTCTATGAACATTGATGAATGCTGAGTGTATGATAGAATATATTGTTTGCTGGGAAGAACGATGGCAAGGAAAACCTGGCTGCCCCCTACTCCAAGTGGAAAACCACTTGGGGCATTTCAAAGTGGCAGGACAATGTATAAATATTATACACCAGTTATAACAACTCTTTTGAGATATCTGACTCTGCCCCCAGGGCTCCCTCTTGCAGAATACCTTTTCGTTTGTCTGTAATCAGTGGTAAATGGGCAACAACTGCCTACTTGGGATATCTTTGAGTTATGAGAAAATACAGAACACCTGTCTGTTAATAATAATCACCTGTCCAGAGAGAATAAATAGGTGGATCAGAATCTGCTGGAGGCCTTCAGCCTGGAATACCGTCAGCCCCTGAGGCTCTCAGTTTGGAAGGCTGCTGCCTGCTCCCACCCACAGACCCACTTTGCTGTTCTATCTGTGTGTCTGCCTCTCATTTCCTTCAGCGCCACCTGGGTGGGGGTCTCTCTGGCTGAGCTGGTACTCGGTGCACCTGACTAATTTTTGTATTTTTAGTAGAGACACAGTTTTGCCATATTGGCCAGGCTGGTTTCGAACTCCTGACCCCAAGTGATCCACTTGCCTTGGCGGCCTCCCAGAGTGCTGGGATTACAGGCGTGAGCCACCCTACCTGGCCAATTAATTATTCCAATTGACAGAAAGTATATATATTTACGTGTACAACATGATGTTTTTAAATATGCATACACTGTGGAATGGCTACGTCAAGCTAATTAACATATACATTACCTCACATACTTATATTTTGTGTCAAGAACACTTAGTAGCTACCATCTTAGCAATTTTTTTTTTTTTGAGAAGAAGTTTTGCTGTGACCCAGGCTGGAGTGCAATAGTGCAATCTCAGCTCACTGCAACTTCTGCCTCCCGTGTTCAAGTGATTCTCCTGCCCTGTCTCCCAAGTATCTGGGATTATAGGTGCCAATCATTACGCCTGGCTAATTTTTGTATCTTTGGAAGAGATGGTGTTTTACCATGTTGGGCAGGCTGGTCTTGAACTCCTGACCTTAGGTGATCCACCATCCTCAGCCTCCCAAAGTGCTGGGATTACAGGCATAAGCCACCATGCCCAGCTGTAATTTTCAAGAATACAATATATTGTTATTAACTATAGGTTTACTTGGCTGGGCACAGTGGCTCACGCCTGTAATCCTAACACTTTAGGAGGCTGGGGTGGGCAGATCACGAGGTCAGGAGTTAGAGACCAGCCTGCCCAACATGGTGAAACCCTGTCTCCACTAAAAGTACAAAAATTAGCTGGGTGTGATGGCATGCACCTGTAATCCCAGCTACTCAGGAGGCTGAGGAAGGATAATTGCTTGAACACAGGAGGCGAGGTTACAGTGAGCCAAAATTGTGCCATTGCACTCCAGCCTGGGCGACAGAGCGAGACTCCATCGCAAAAAAAAACTATAGGCTTACTTTTCTTAACTTTCCTGCTCTTTAGGATCAAGATCCTTCAAATCAAGATTTCACTGGTAACCCAGAATTTTAATTTTTGTCTTCCCATCTACACAAATTTTCTGAAGGCCCAATGGTTTCTCTGATTCTTGGTAGCTGCCCTCTGCCCAGTTTCTCCTACCCTAGCTATACAGAAAGGAACAGCATATGCCTGAAGGGAAAACTCAGTGAGCTTCCCTTCTCTCCAGGATCTTGGCACCTCAAATCTTAGTTGCTCTGGCAGCTATTTAATGCCTTCAAACAAATTCTTTTTATTGTATTTTATCCAGCTTTTCTGGGAGTTATCAGCGTGACTGTTGTTCTGCTACAAGCAAAAGTAGAAGCCTGCTGTTCTCCACTCATTTAAATTTATTCTTTATGGGCAACATCCTGAAAATAGGTACTCATTCTCTCTTTACAACCTTCTCAAACATTAAGTCTTTTTTTTTCTTTTTAAGAAATTTGGTATTATAACAATATCAAACCTAAATTGAGACTGTAAAGAATACATTTCTTCATTTAATATGTTTAAATATATTGGATGGTTTAAAATTTTGAGTAAATGTAGAGAAGATACAGGGTTTAAATTCAATTGTCATGGTTACCTGTTGTGGTTTATATTAACTTGCACTTATTTAAAAAAATCTACTCTAATCTCATGGCCAACTAAAACTATATTGCTATAATGAAAAACGCCTCCAAAGCACTTGATTTCGGGTAGAGAGAGGAACACGTACCGTATTCTAGTATCTAACAATTCCTTAATCATTGCCACAACTTCATCATCTTCTTCAGATCCTAGAAATAATTACATATAAAAACATCAAGAGTAGAAATTTTATAGCCATGCAAATACAAGTATTAAAACAATGATTTTAATTACATTATTCATTAAATAAAACTATAGAATATGTAACCTGGTATGGAGATATCTTTTGGGAAACTGAAGAGACAATTATTCATTTGATTCTCTGGAAAAATTAAGGCATACCAATCAACTCAACATTTGATGATAAAGACGAATACACTAAAACGTCTTGATATTAGGGTTTGAATTTTTAAGCCAGTAAATTTGCAGACTTTCTCTGTTCTCAAGGATTGAAAGTATTAGAGAAAAGAGACTGAATTTTGATGGAAACTTTGAGACAAAAAGCCACACCTACTTTGTAAGTTACATCTTCAGTTTCTTTACTGGTTTTCAAAATGATAACCATACTAAATATAGATGTAAGCCTTCTGGAAATTTCTGAAATGTTCTTTTTTTTTTTCTTTTCGAGATAGAGTTTCACTCTGTTGCCCAGTCCAGAGTACAGTGGCATGATCACAGATCACTGCAGCCTCAACCTCCTGGGCTCAAGCAGTCCTCCTGCCTCAGCCTCCCAAGTAGTTTGGGACACAGGTGTGAGACAGCACACTCAGGCAATTTTTTTTATTTTTTGTAGAGATGGGGGTCTTGCTATGTTGCTGATATGGTTTGGCTGTGTCCCCAGTCAAATCTTGTCTCGAACTATAGTTCCCATAATCCCTGTTGTGGGAGGTAATTGAATTATGGGGGTGGTTACCCTCATGCTGTTCTCGTGATAGTGAGTGAGTCCTCACAAGACCTGATGGTTTTATAAGGGACTTTTCTCCCTATCGCTTGGCAGTTCTCCTTGCTGCCACCATGAGAATATGGACATGCTTCCTCTTCCGCCATGATCGTAACTTTCCTAAGGCCTCCCCAGCTATGCTGAACTGTGAGTCAATTAAACCTCTTTCCTTTATAAATTATCCAGTCTCGGGTATGTCTTTACTAGCAGCATGAGACAGGACTAATACAATTGCCCAAGATGATCTTCAACTCCTGGGCTCAAGTGATCCTGCTGCCTTCGCCTCCCAAAGTGCTGAGATTACAAGCATGAGCCGTGACTGGACTCTGAAATGTTCTACAAATCTTCTGAGCAAAAAGGTAGCCTTTGAGAAAACCACAAATGTAGAGATTTCATATTACATTATAACATACACTAGATTCTGGCAACCCCACAAATAATGACTATTAAAATTAAATTATATTAACTTTGAGTTTTTTAAGAAAAGAAATAAAACATGGCTCATGCCTGTAATCCCAGCACTTTGGGAGGCTGAGGTGGGCACATCACTTGAGGTCAGGAGTTCCAGACCAGCCTGGCCAATATGCCGAAACCCTGTCTTTACTAAAAATACAAAAATTAGCCAGGCATGGTGGTGGGTGCCTGTAATCCCAGCTACTCGGGAAGCTGAGACATAAGAATCACTTGAAACCAGATGCAGAGGTTGCAGTGAGCCAAGATCATGCCACTGTACTCCAGCCTGGGTGACAGAGCAAGACTCTGCCTCAAAAAAAAAAAAAAAAAAAGACAAGACAAGACAAATAAAACACACAGAAGGGCAGGGCATGATGGCTCACGCCTATAATCCCAGCACTTTGGGAGGCCAAGGCAGGTGGCTCACCTGAGGTCAAGAGTTTGAGACCAGCCTTGCCAACATGGTCTCTACTAAACCTGTATATTTATATTTTTAGTAGAGAAACCCTGTCTCTACTAAAAATATAAAAATTGGCTGGACATGGTGGCACATGCCTGTAATCTAAGCTACTTGGGAGGCTGTGGCAGGAAAATTGCTTGAACCCAGGAGACAGAGGCTGCAGTGAGCTGAGATGGCACCACTGCACTCCAGCCTGGGCAAAAGAGTAAGACTCCACCTCAAAAAATAAAATAAAATAAAACAAATAAAAATAAATAAATTCGTTGGGGGAAAAAAGCTCAAAAGCTAAAATTCAGTAAACCTATATTCTACTTGCCCACCATCCCTTCCACAGACAATCACTGTCATGAGTTTAGTTTCTATCTTCCCAGCATGTGTTTACATTTACATGTATAAATTAACACAAATGAGATTACACTATACACACTCTTCTATATCTTGCTCTTTTCTATGTAATATATCTTGAAGGTCATTCCCCATTGGCATATACAAATATGCCACAATATTTAAAATAGGTGCACAGTAACTTTTATATAGATTTGTCTTTGGCCAGTTTCTTCATTATTTCAGTTGGAGCTGCTTGAATGTTTACACAGTTTGCTGCTATTTCTAACAATCCTGCAACATACTTGCTTATATAAATACACATCAAAAGGCCGGGCTCGGTAGCTCACATCTGTAATCCCAGCACTTTAGGAGGCTGGGGTGGGTGGATCACTTGAGATCAGGAGTTTGAGACCAGCCTTACCAGGTGGTGGAACCCCATCTCTACTAAAAATACAAAATTTAGCTGGGTGTGTTGGCAGGTGCCTATAATCCCAGCTACTCAGGAGGCTTAGGCAGAAGAATCGCACTACTGCACTCCAGCCTGGGTGACAGAGTAAAGCTCAGTCTCAAAAAAAAATTATACACACACACACATCAATGTACTTTTGCAGCAATTATATTTATGAGATAAATTCCTACTGGTGGGATATCTGAGTAAACAGGCTTGTGCTTTTTTTTTTTTTTGAGACAGAGGTTTGCTCTTTTTGCCCAGGCTAGATTGCAATGGCGTAACCTTGTCTCACTACAACCTCTGCCTCTTGAATTCAAGTAATTCTTCTACCTCAGCCTCCTAAATAGTTAGGATTATAGGCATCTGCCATCACACATGGCTAAGTTTTTGTATTTTCAGTAGAGATGTGGTTTTGCCTGTTGGTCTGGCTGGTCTCAAACTCCTGACCTCAGGTGATCCACCAGCCTCAGCCTCCCAAATTACTGGGATCCACCAGCCTCAGCCTCCCAAATTACTGGCATAAGCCACCACGCCTGGCCAGCTTGTGCATTTTTAATGTTAGTAGATATAGTCAAATTACTCTAAAAAAGTCATAAGGATTACATATAGATCAATCAAGCATGTAGTACTAAAAATTTCCATAAATGATACATACATTTGAATTTTCCTTTTTCACTTAATATTTTCTTTTTTGTTTCCATGTTGGTATCTCCCAATCTAGCTCATTCCTTTTAACTGCCAGTATAGTAAAAAATATTTCAGTGGGCCAGGCACGGTGGCTCATGCCTGTAATCCCAGCATTTTGGGAGGCTGAGGCGGGTGGATCACCTGAGGTCAGGAGTTTCAGACGAGCCTGGCCAACAGAGCAAAACACTATCTCTACTAAAAATACAAAATTTAGCCAGCGTGGGGGCACATGTCTGTAATCCTCGGGAGGCTGAGGAAGGAGAATCTCTTGAACCTGGGAGGTAGAGGTTGCAGTGAGCCAAGATCATGCCACTGCATTCCAGCCTGTGCGACGGGGGCAAGACTCCATCTTAAAAAAAAAAAATTTCCAGTGAACATGTTTATACCTGTTGCCTTGTGCACATGTCTAAGACTCTTACTCTATATCTAAAAGTATACCTGTATCATCTAAAGACAATTATACAAATGTTTCTGTATGTCATAGTCTATTTAGCATTGCTACAGAGGAATGACTGAGTCTGGGTAATTTATAAAGAAAAAAAAAGTTGGTTGATTCTGATGACTAGAAAAGTTGACTTGGCATCTGGTGAGGGCCTCAAGCTGCTTCACCTCATGGAAGAAGGAGAAGGGGAGCTGGCCCATGCAGAGATCACATGGTGAGAAAGGAAAGAGATAGGTTACTGGGGCTCTTCTTAGCACTCAGCTCCCAAGGGAACTAATAGAGTAAGAACTTACTCACATCCCCTCGCACTCCCAGCTCTTTCAGAGGGCATTCATGACTCACTCACCTCCCATTAGGCTCCACCTCCAACACTGGGATCAAATTTCAACATGAGATTTGGAGGGGACAAACATCCAAACTACAGCAGTATATATGTATATGTATGCACATATAAACATTCAGTTTTTGTGGTCAATGCTTATTAACATTGATCAACTATTAGAACTAATAAGCATTAACCCTGACAGATATAACATCAATATACAAAAATCAACAGTATTCCTATACCCAATGCCCCAAATTAGAAAACATTATTTTAAAACAGATACAGGGCCAAGTGATGTGGCTCACGTCTGTAATCCCAGCACTTTGGCAGGCCAAGGTGGGCAGATCACCTAAGGTCAGAAGTTCGAGAGCAGCCTGGCCAACATGGCAAAAACCACATCTCTACTAAAAATACAAAAATCAGCTGCTCAAGAGGCTGAGGCAGGAGCATTGCTTGAACCCAGGAGGCAGAGGTTGCAGTGAGCTGAGATTGCGCCATCACACTCTAGCCTGGACAACAAAGCAAGACTCTGTTAAAAAAAAAAAAAACCCAAAAAACAGATAGAGGCAGCACAGTGCAGTGGTTAAGAGCATGAACGCTGGAGCCAGACTACCCAAAGTTTGTATCTATCTCTGCCACTTGCTACCTGTGTGATCTTCAACAAACTACTCAACCTTTCAGTGCCTGAGCTTTCTCATGTATGAAATGTAGTAACAGTTGCTATCTTATAAGGTTATTTTAAGAATTAAGTGAGTTTATACTTGTAAAGTGCTTAGAATTGTGCTTGAAATACAGTAATAAGTGCTTACTAACAAAATAAGAACCATTTATGACCACAAAACCTATATGGTACCTAGAACTAACATGAGCTCATACCAAGAAAATAACATAAGAGAAGTCTCAAGTAAATGGGAAAATTTGGGGATGAAAAAATATCAATGTTGAAGAAATGTTAATTCTCCCAAATTTAATCTATAAATTTAATGCAATTTCAACCAAACTCTTGAATGGGTTTTTCAGAGACTTTACAAGATGATCATTAAATTTACAATGAAGAATAAAGC